AATTTCTGTAGGATGAAATTTGTATTTCTAAGGCTGTATGATAAAATGTCTCTGCCTTTACTTTACAATATATTCACGTGTGGAGATCAATTCAAGATATTAGTGACAATCAGCAGAAGATGCAAAAGCTCTGACTAAGTTGAGTAGGCTTGCTAACAGTGCAGGTGAATTGAGGCTGTAATGGCTGAAGTCAGGACCAATGGACACCTGATGATTCTTCCCCTATAAGACTGTATTTAGATACAACCTCCACCACTCACCACCTTTTGGTCATGAGGTCAATGACGCCTACTCCCTAGTATTTATATAAAACAGTGATTAAAGAATCATTATTTTAAAGATTATATCAATCAGAATAAGGGACAGTCACTACCCTGAAGGTTTTCTGAATCATGCATACAACAAGAGACAATAAATTGACAGAAAAGTAAACAGAAACATCTAGACAATGTGACTGAAAGTGCTACTAACAGGCTAAATCCTACCTGTCAAATCTATTCTGACTACTTCAGAAAAACAGAACTTACATAAAGATTTAGAAGAAAGTAACTAAGTATCTGCAATAGGTGCCTCATCTAAGCAAGACAGTCAACATGGGAGATAGCACAGATACTTTCTTGAGAACCCAAGTGTATGATCAGGCTGTCATCACTGGCTGATGAACTGGCAGTCAGCATCTCAACACTGAAGATGAGATGACATGTAAGGTGTCGGTATTAGTCCATTAAAGGACTCAAAAGAGAAAGCATCTAAGTTTTCCTTGGTGCTATAAAGGAAAGGCAGCTAAAGCAGATGCAAAGCAAGAAAAAATGATGGACTGAAAAATGATCTTTACAGCTTCTTTGCAGTCTTGATGAATATAAATGAAGCAGAAATGCATTTGTCAAAGCCAAAGAAAAGGACACTATAGCAATAAAGATGTGAGTTGATGACAGCGTAGGTGAAAATGTCTGTTAGACAGATAGAAAAGCCTGTATATTAGAATCATAAAATCTGCAAGACACTTTCCTTACTACAACATATAAAATATACTTTTATATATTTTAGATATTTTTATATCAGCTGTGTCAACAAAATGATAGCTTACTAAACCAAAAATTTGGGCTAAACAGTTAAACCAGAATAAGTCCATCATTGCTATAAGCTTATATTCAGTTTGACAGCTGGATCTAGTCCCTGAAGTCCTGTTTCCTTACAAATCTTTCAGATATCCAATACACAACACCATTAAACTCAACAGCCATATTTAAATGGATTTTAAAATTCTAAATATGCTGGATATTAGGAAAAATTTCTTCACAGAAAGAGTGGTGAGGCATTGGAACAGGCTGCCCAGAGAGGTGGAGGAGGCATCATCCCTGGAGATATTAAAAAAATACAGAGTGTTTCATAAGATGGTTTAGTGTTTAGGGGTTGTAGGTGGATGGTTGGACTTGATGATCTTGAAGGTCTTTTCCAACCTTGACAATTCTATGATTCTAGCATTTATACCATATACAGAAATATCATAAGCCAAGAATGACCCATTTGATCCTATAAAAAAATTACATCTGTTACAAAGGAAAATCCAAGCCAGTATTAAAAGGTCTTCTTACTGTCTGCCTACTGCCTACTCTGTTCCCCCACATATGAAGTAAAACCTGCTAATCTGAAGTATGAATACAGCTACAGAGCTACCCAAACTAGCTTTCTGTACCCAAATTAGCTTTCTGTACCTGGGCTTGTGGAGCATCCTATGTAGGTAGGTAAAGCAGACTTTCTCTCTCTCTCTCTCTCTCTCTCTCTCTCTCTAGAAGTGAGTGCTATGAGAGAATAACAAGCTCTAACTATAATTAAAACACTCTTTAAGAATGTGATCATTCTTTTCAGCAATAACATAATTGCCAAATTGCAATGGTACTCTTTGCCCTAACTACATAGCATTGCATCACATAGCCCATGGCATTACACAGCAAGTTTCAAAATAGGACCAAGGCTTCCTAGAAAGCTTACAGATACTTTTATTGAGCAGGACTCCTAGTAAAACAAAGAAGTTTTACTTCTTCCCTTTCCTCAGCATCTTGAAATAAAATGTTTTCTCTTGGGACACTACAGTTTGAAATAGTGTCATTCATACTCTATTTTACAGAACTCTGACAGGAACAATTTACAAGGACATGAACAAATGGCATTGAACAACCATGGAGTGGAGTGGAGTGTCAAGAGGTGCCAGTTTTCATAAAGCAGAGACATCAGTCAAATTCTAGAAAAAAAGCTGTAAATTGCTCTAGATTTAAATATAAAGTATCACCTTTCCCCTTAGTTGTCTATTGTAAAAAACTATGCTATCCTGCAAATGCCATGTTTTAGAGGAGTTCTACATTGAGATCTTATAAACAGGTGGCAGTAAGAACAATAACTTGTTCAAAAACAACTTCTATCATGACTTTATCAGAGTGAGAAAATTACTCTGTTCTTTCAAACATAATAAATATGGGACTAGCAGGAACATTGTTTTATATGCTTCTTTTACAAGCTTACACAATTATTTACATATATATCTAATATATATATAAATCAGATATATTTCAATATCTGGAGGCCTAAATTGGCTTCTTCCTCTATTTCCTTCATCAAAATTTATTTCCTCTGAGATAATAATGCTTAATTCCACAAATGTAAAACAAGTACTAACTAGTTTTCTGGTTTTATCACTTTGCAGTACTAGTCCAGTCAGCCTAACTCCTTTCACTGCAGAATTTCTTCTGCTGCTACACAACAAATCACCAAAAAAACCCCAAACCAAGAACCACACACATGCTGTCTGTAATAAAGAACTACTATCATGCACAGCTGAACATCTGGCATATAAGTATATTAATTTATCTATTCATATGAGGAGTAAACAACACATAATTTTATTCAATGTTTAGGTTGCATTAAGACATATTTAAGATAAGGAAAATAAATATTTCCTATAGTCACCCAGTATGTAGCATTACTGATAATACACTTTACCAAATAATAAGAAAAAATATTGCAAAAATCAAGTAGTTTAAAATTGGCCTTTGAAAATCTACTCAGTGCCTCATCTGGCATATCACCACTTCTGATGTTTTGGGAAATTATTCTGTCTTAGAGTTCCTGTGAGGTTTTTAATCCTACTGAAAGACATGTAAAGGAAAAGCAAGAGTTTTCACAGGTGGTAGTAAAGAACCAGACACTCCAACTGACAATTAGGAGAGAATCATGTGACGGTACAACACACAATGTGCAAGTGAAATGACTGGATGCATGTTTTGATTATTCTTGATGTAGTTTACACAACACAAAATTTCCAAACAAAATCTGCTATAACTATCACTTCTCACTAACATGAATCCAGCACAATCAGAGTATTCTAACAGCATATACTAAACTTCCCAATTTTTTATGTAGTTCAAATGCCTGTTACTTGAGCTACTACTTTGAAGACTAGGCAATAGTCTCCAACTTTTATTAAGAAAGTCTAAGAATAATGGAGTTTATTCTTGCCTGTGGGAGAGAAATATTATTTGGAGAATTTATAACACTTTAGTCATTTTAAAAGGTATGTTACACAATAAAGGTCAAGCTTTTTACTGATAACGTATAATAGTGACAAAATAGCACTAGTCTAGAGAGCCACAAAATTAGTAATTGCGTTTCTATGTTGTAAGCAAGTTAAAGCAGTCTGATAAATGTGTTTCAGTGTGTTCCTGACTTATATACTTCATAGTCTAGCTTATATAACCTATAAAGAATTAAACAATAAAGAAATGCCTTAACTATTAAATAAGTAAACAAATCTGAACGTGTAAGGAGAAGAAAACAAATCTTCATGGTACTATACCTTGGAATTATTATTTAGAGTTGTAATAAATTCGGTAGAGACGAGAAAAATTATGAACTTTAGTGCAGGAAATCAACAAGAACATTTTAATAGGAAGGATTAACAGTGAACAATTGTAGTTGAGAGGCATGGCTGCCAACATTAAAGTTTTTTTTGACAAAATATCATAAATTGAGAAAATCTGGCATTGTTAGGGTAGTATAAATTAAAGTCGTTAAGTTATGCCCCTAGGTGTTTTTTTATTGCAAAGATGGGCAATGACAGTTAAAGTGCTCTGAATAAATTGTTTTATGAAGAAAGATAAAAAAGATTGAAGTAATACACAAAATTTACACAATGGTTCATTTGTAAAGGGCAACAGAGTTCAGTCAGATGGAGAGAAAATAAGCTGGTAACGGGCCATTTCCCCGAGGCAGGCAATAGTGGGGGCATTGCAACACAGTTTGTTTACAGTCAGCCTGTAAACAGGACCTTAATGCCTTTCAGGCACTGCATGTGTATCATAGAGTAAAATTAAATTGGAAGTATTTCCATGAAAGTGAACTGTCACCGGTTCACAAACATAACTGAACTTCTACAGGGGTATGCAAATGACTTGCCTATTTACCATATTCAAATCCTATTCCAAACAACTCCCTGATATGCTCTTTGCTGGGAAAATGTGAGGTTTTTAAATGTAGGGACCTGAAGTAAATACAGTATTCTTAGTTCTTTTTGAAAAACAAGATCCTTTTTTCAAAAGACTGCTTGCCTAGCTTTTTTTAAAGAATGAACATCACCTTGTAAAAGTGTGCTGTTATACAGATGAGGTATTATAAACGACTCTAGCGCTGCATTTAAGATTAAAAAAAATAAATATCCAGTTACCTTTTCAGAAAACCTCTTTGTGAAATACCAAGGCTCTGCTTTTAACAAGAAATCCTCTTTTCAAATCCTGTCTCAGTAAAAATAGGATTTTTTTTCAGAGTGGACAAAGAAAATACATCTCCTACTGCTTATAGCCCATCACTTCAGGTCTAACAGTTTGGAAGCAACTCTAACAGTCAGACACTATCAGTCTTGCTACAACTGCTTCTACTCCCCAAGTAACACTGGGGAGCTAAATTTATTAAATACCACCCTGTGCTTGAAAAATAACCCCTTCACTTACTTGAAAATCTTTCTCTTCCAGGATCTCTTTCCTCCACCTGACTAGGAAGGCAGCACAGACATACAAGTGGAAGTGAGAAAAACCCTCTGGTTCAGACTAGAAAAAAACAAAAATAAATCATTATTTCAATACACAAATAATACTTTTGATCACTATATACCCAAGTGTATTTTTATGGCATTCACTACTAACTACAAATGTTAGCTAAATCTCTTTCCCTTCACATCACAAATATGTGTGCATTTCATCTATGCCAGCTATTATCTCTAATGCGAATTAAGGAGAGGTTTGTAGTGCTCATATTTAAATGCATTCTTTACAAATGTGTTTCTTCTATTTCTGATGTTATCCATTAGTTTATATGTCATGAAACACTGTAGTCTCAATCAACCTTGTGGTGTGAATGTATATTTATCTCCATTATTAAGAGTAAATTCTTAATAATGGAGATGAAGTATATGTAGCACCTTTTTCATTATAAATTCTGCTATAGGAAATTATTACGTATTTCAAAAACACACAACTCGGTCTACATTTTACTAAATCAGAGGTTTTTACTAAAGGAAAAAACGTACTCCTTGTAACACAAAATATTTATGACTCAGAATTTTATTCAAATCTGCAGCTTTCTGTTCTGCTTCCAGTCAGCAGATTCAGTGACTTTTGTAAAACTTCCCCCAGAAATTGTGATTTTATAATGATACCTAAGGGTTTAGAAAAATTTGTAATCCTACTTTAAAAGATCGATTTTTCTCATATTACCAAATTAATCTTAAGATTTTATTTGCTATACCACTGAGAACTGAAAAATTAATTACACTTAATTATCATTGTGATGACTGTGAACTAATGTTACATAAAATCTCATTAAAACAACATTTAAAAATAATAATTATAAAATCAAGCTACATAATCTGACAAATGTAGGGATACTTAAATGATGATATCTAAATAATTTATAAGATCTAAATGTAGTACTTCATGGCAAATTTTCCACAAGCCCACTCTGAAGAATTTGCTGTCACTGATGAAGACTTTCTGGCACAGTCAGAAGCAGCTCAGATCACCACTACCTGGTGAAATATGATCTGTGTTTAGATCTACTTTCAAGTTACAGGTAACTGACAAGCACAGCACCAATCTAAGCATTTGCACTCAAGCTGGAAAGCAGGGAAGAAGAAAAATGATGGAGGCAGATAAAGCTGGTCAGAGATTGCGAAACAGATAAAGTACAAAAATACTGCTGAGATGTGATTAAGAAAGAAGACTATTTTTGCAGATGAAGGAGCAGTAAGACTAAATAGTGTGTTGGCAGGAAAATCTCACTTAAGATAATGATTATTTTTCAGGATATTTTATGTATTGGATTGCTATACTGCCTGAATGTAGTAAAGGTTTGCATTTCTTTAATTATGTAACAGGAGCAAGAAAGAGGAAAATGAAAGGAACTTGGTCTTTTATTAGTATATACTAATCCTCCTTTCTTGTCCTTACTCCTCCAACATTATATAAGCTCTTAAAAAACATAGGGGAGAAGGGAGGAGGATTAAAGAAATCTGTCTGAAAGCAGCATTTTAACTTATAAAGTGAATTTGGAATAACTGTTGGCAAAATTTTTTATTTTGTTCTCTCTTACATGGACTCACAAATATTATCACACAGCCAGTCAAATGAGATCATTACAGTATTCTTTATTTGAAAATTACCTAAGATTCTGATTTAAAGCCCAAAAATTCAGTCTGTTATCATATAATAAAAAAAAACTCTTCCATAGCCAGAAAGCCAAGAAACGTGGCTTACAAAACAAATTAAAAGAGAATAAAACCCTTGAGCTGCAAAATGGAAATTGAAAATGTTTTTGAGGAATAGTAGAAAAAATATCTGGAGGTGCACAAGAACTTTTTCTTGAGATTTTTCTGTTCAACCTTTTTTTTCAATACAATTTTCTTCAGCTCTCTTAAATGAAACAAAATAGGCTTAAATATGCAATTCATTAGAGAAAAATGCATATTCCCCTATAGATTTAAAAATTCATCATGCTTCAGAGTAAGTCTAGGCTACAAAGTATTTCCAATGGATAGTTTTAGACAGTTTTGGAAATTGAGTAAAACAGCTAATGCGTAATTGCCTTTTCTAACACCTGCTACCTATTATACTTTTCCATTTGCAGCTTTTGAAGTTACAAACAGTTTGATCTCTAAATGTACAGAAATGCAGACTACCAGCTAAAAGCTATTTAAAATCAAATATAAACAATGACCTTGATTTAAATATTTTAGCAAAAGATCTCAAGACAGATGTACAACCTTCCAGAAGACTTATTTTGAACATATTACAGATGACTCAGAGCACATTATCTAAGAACCATCTGTCATTATCAATAAAAGTTATTTAGATTGTTAACATCACAAATATCTCATTGCCCTGCAAATGCTGGATCTCCTCTGCAGCTGAAAAGAAAGGCATGCTTTACACTACACTCTGCAAACTTATTGAATTAGACATCACTGAAAGAATGCAAATTTTGTTGTACGCCTCCCATACCCTAGATAATTCAGCATGTAGAGAGGATAATATCTCATGGTATTGTATTTATTGATAAACACAATATGTGATTATTTTTTAAGTACTCAGAATAATTAAAGCTTTGAAATTGTGCCAGGGTTAGGTATTAAACCACGACATTTCACACACATTAATGGTTCAGACAAAAGGACATTCAAACACTTTAAGATTTCAGATGAATAAAGCAACTTTAAGCAACGCTGTTTTTACACATGATAAAAAAGCATTTAGTTTAGCTGTAAAGAGGTTTAAGTAATTTTTCCAAAATTATCCATGCAATCCATGGCAGAAAAAGAGAAAGATGCCAGTGCAGGATTATAATGGAAAGCAGAATGTGTTGGCTGCTCCTGTTGCCTTTTTCATCAGCCAGGAACTCTTGACTTCGTAGGCACAGACTCAATCCCTTGCCAAAACTGAGGCTCAGAGTTCCAGTCTAAGATGACACATAGCACAAGAACACTGTGGAGAGGTCTATCACAGTAACTATTCTGCCACCAGGAATGACCAGCAGCAGATGACTAAGAGTATAAAAGTGCAAGCAGACAGCAGTACCTGTTCAGAATACTCATCCAACTTTCAAAGCTTTCATGCTCAGAGATGTCTTTGCACAAGCTGTAGAATATGCCCATTTGTTAGCTGATAATGGATTTGTCGTCAGTTAAATGGCTAAAGCTTTTTGCAACTGTAACTTTTTTGATAATTAAAGTCCTGTGACAAAAAATTCCAAAACACAAGAGCATACTATGGAGCATGTCTGCTTTAAACCCAGCACCTGCTTATTATCACACTGAAAGAGAATAGGAAAACTCATTTCCTGTTCACTTTCTTCACTCCATTCACCTTTACCTCTCTTCGGCAGACTAGAATTTTTTTTGTCCCTCACATACTGGTTGCACCATCTTTGCTGAGCCTTCTTAAGCATACTTTCCTGTACTTTTCTGATTTTGAAATAAGGTCCAACTGTATACAGCATGTAAGACACAGAAAGAATACAACTCTCATAAATGCAAAATGATCTTTTGCTTCCCTTTCCTTTCCCAGCAATTCCAAGCCTGTATTTTTTTCCTTTTTCTTTCCTGACTTTTACTGAGCTCAGATTTGCCTCTTGTGCTTGAGTGTAGAAAGCTAACTTGAAGCCCATAGTTACACCAGTAAAATTAGGATTGTTCCAAGCACACACACAATGTTATTTAGTGCCTGGTTATAGCAACATGAAGTCCTGCAACTCCTTGCTGTGTATCTCTTGCCTTTACCACTCTCAGTAACATGGAGTTGCCTGCAAACTTTGCTGTCTCACTCTTGTATGCCTCCTCCAATACCTTCAGCAGAAACAGCTAAAGCCACATCACAAACTGTAAAAGAATTGCATGCAATTCCCCTTAATTTTGATCCTGTCTGCTTATTCCTGCCATCTGTTTCCTGTCTTTCAGACAATTATTATATGTACAAGGGCATTCCCTTTAATTCCACAGCCATGTTTTTCTTTAACAACCTTTAGTGAAAAATCATCTTCACTGTTTTCAGCAATCTCAGCAGGCTATCTCAACTGGTTCATATGGTTGAAGATTTGCAAAGTGTGATTTGTTACTACAAAAAACATGAAAACATTTTCTTAAAGTGTCATATATACTCATGGTAAAAGAATATTAAATTTGGAGAGCACTGTACTGAAGTCACATAAATCCTGTATTCTAAAAGATACTGGACTACTTCAAGGATTGCAACTGCTTTCATTGTACACAGCAGCCTACCAACTCATGTAGGATCATAACCTTCTCCTGCCTGGCAGTTTTACAGGCAGCTATATAATGAAATTTTGATTATGCTGTGGTGCTAAAAATTTGAATTTGAGCCATGACAGTCATTAAAAAGTATTTTATTTATACATAAAATACCTATTAAAAACATTTATTGTTGTCGAGTTAGCACATTCTGGATTGTTTTCTATCATTGATTTTCTTTCACCATGACTATTCCCAAGGGGATAGTCTTAAAAACAGTAAATGACTAACAGCACTTTTCTAAGCTGAATCTAAGCTGACAATAAACACAGCAACAAAGTTGGATAATTTATGCTTAAGAAAAACAACAAACAAAACACATACAAAAAACCCCAACAAAAACAACCAGAAAACCAACCTTACTTATAGTTGGGCCTATAAACAACTGTTTCTAATCCATGAACTCATAAATTCAACATCCATCAATTAATATGAAAAATGATGGGTTGGTTTGATCTTTGCATTCAAAACAAACCTGATCCAAACACATTCCATAGCACTTTAAAATCTGTAATGGAAACTTCTTCAGGTCATAACAGCAAGCTAGAAGTTTTTGGAACAGCCAAAACACCATCCAAAAAATATCTCAGCCCTTAGTGATCCCTGTAAGTCCCTTATAGAAAAGCTATTTTTAAAACAACCTTTGTAGCAACTGTGTTCACTAGGCTCACATAATGTTTCAGTTCAGAAGGGACTCTAAAGACATCTATTTCTATCACCTCTTCATGGGCAGGAACACCTCCCACTAGA